TATATATATATAACTTATAAAATATATATCTTTATTATATAACAAAATCAAATAATACTAGTGATGTTCTGCAATCGCTATATCTCAAAAACTTGTTATATAATTAATGCTTGTTGTCTTAAGCAAAATGTTTAGCCCTAAAATACTTATAGCTACATCCAACATTTAAGCTCCAATATCTAAATATTGTCCTAATTTCTAAACCTTAGTCCTAAATATTGACTATAAAAAAATTATGTGTATTGAGCACCGTAGTATGATTTTATAAAGATTATCTCTATTGAGATTTTTCTATTTTAATATTCTGATCTTTGATATTTAGCTTAATCTCTAATCGTTTAATTTTTATAACAAATTGAATAAATTTAACAATGATTGTTTTAATCTCATCAATTTCAACATTAGCAATACCTGACTTATCAAGAAAATTATCATTAAAAATTTCAATATTTTCATGATTTGGATTAGCAAGAGTCTCTATAATATTCTCTCTAATGTCTGATTTATCACCATAATTAGGGTCTTCAATGTCTGGTTTATCATCTTTATTGTCTGTATTATCATCATTCTTAAAGGCATTTATAATATCGTAAATGATATTTTTATTAATATCATCAATGATATTTTTAATATTTTCATCATCAATATCATTAATATCACCAATGATATTTTTAATATCATCAATGATATTTTTAATATTTTCATCATCAATATCATTAATATCATCAATGATATTTTTAATATTTTCATCATCAATATCATTAATTGTAGTTCCTTTTTCAATATCTTTCTTTTTTTCATCAAATCTTTTGTTACAATTATAAATAATATCATTACCAAATTCGTAAATATCAGGGATTACAAGCCAATACATTTTTACATTTGTTTCCTTGCTTTCGCCGCTATTCATGTCATTATCTTCATTCGTTCGACGTAAATAAGTAAAATATTTTCCTTCATTTGTTCGATGTGAATAAGTAAAATATTGAAATATTCCTGTTTCAAGAATATTCATATAAACAAGCGCATGTTTAATAAGTTTCTTAGCAAATTAACCTCTTCTTATGCCTGGGATATTTATGATGCCTTTATCAATTTTATTTGCACCACCTTTGATAATTCGGATGTAATTGTAAATTTTGTCATCATCATTTACATCTGCTGGAAGTTCTTGGTAAATCTTTCCAAATGTATCATTTCGTTCGTTTGGCTCCTCCATACCCGGAAATGGATTTTTTGTAAAAATGTGCTTCTTCAGGTAAAACATCAGACAATACTTCAGATAAAGCCTTTGAAAATTTTTAACAAAACCTTTCTCATCACCATCTAAAACAGCATTTAGATAAAGCCTTTGCTGACCTAATAATCTAGATGCATGTTCTTCAGAAAGAACGGCTTGAAAAACAAATTTATATGGATCTCTGTAAAAAGGAATTCCTTCAATGTCTCCTTTAGCAAATTTAAACCCAAGTTCTACTACTTTGGTATCTGCATCATGAGAAAAAAATGATGAAATTGAACGAGTTATAACAGTTGAAAGAATAAAGAAATAAATTGAATCAACTTTTTAGGGGTACAATATAAACCATATTCGAAAAAACATTCAATTATAGAAATAAAAATGACAAAAAAGAAAAGTTTTTTGGAAATAATTCTTTTTTTGAAATAACAATTTATAATCAAAAATACGTTTAATATAAGGTAAAGTAAACTGGTAAGTAAGCTTAAAAGATGTAAATTCAGAAGCGCATCTAACTGTACTAAATCAAACATATAAGTAAAATTGGGATGGCGAGTTTTACCAAGGATTTGCATCGTATCACAAATAACAATTGTAAATGAATTAATAAAACAAACCAATACAATAATATGTTTAATAATGCTAAATCGATGATATTTTAAAGAAAATGAATTTTTGAATAATAATCTTAGATATTTGAAGGGAAATACGGACAAATTATGAAAATCTTCTACCATCCAACATACGAAAAAAAGGAAAATAAATTCATATAAACAAGTACTGATAAAAATAATTTAATATAGATAGGGTTTGTATGATCATAAACGAAATAAAAAACAAATTTAGAAGTAAAGAACCATGAAAATATTGGTACAAGAAAACATGAGAGAATTAATAAATCGTCAACAATGCAAGTAATTCTAAGATTTAATCGAGAAGTTACACCATAAACAGCAACGTTAAAAAGTAATACTGCAATAGTACTAAACCCTGAGAGTTGATTAACTATGATAGTATGACTAGATTCAGATTGAAGTCCTGAATAATCTATACTACTATTAAGACATTCAAAAGTTTTTGTAGTGCTATTATATTCTGGAAAAAAAAAGGTTTTGTCTTTTAATTTTTCAAAATTGTCATCAGGAATATAAGGTATAATCAAAAAGATAAGTAACAAAGTATAGATAACAATCACAACAATACATAATGTCGATAAGAAAGAAAAGGCTGCTTTGACTCCGTTTTTATAAAATTGGTAAAAGCAAAAATAGAAAACAGAAAGGCAGAACACTACGAAAATGTTGGTATATCTGATATCTGAGTCATTGAAATAAATTCAACTCAACAAAAATGAATTATACCTTTGCAATTTGAGTATGTATATATAATTCTTTTTTGTTACAAAGTCACGTCTAATGCAATCTAATCTTATGCAAGCCATACATGTATCATATGCTGTATTCTTTATGTGTCCATCCATTAGTACACTATAGTCAAGCAGTGTTACCACACGACTATAAAAGTTCATATTACTAAGTTCTTGAATTTTGGATAGTATTTGGATAAGTTAAATGAAAGATTCACATATTTTATTTTCCGAATCTCTAATATACTGTCACACTAATAAATTAAATTAGATGTGCGTTAATAGAGAAATTATAGCAGATCAGTATGGTATAGGTGAGCAGATCAGTATAGTATAGGCCGATTTTTAAAATTATACTATAC